AAGGTGTTAAGGTTCAGCAAACTCAATTTTTGATGATTGTATTGAATGCTGAACTGAAGTCAATGAACAGCATTCTTACATAAGAGTCTTTCTTATCCAGGTGGGACAGGGCCGGGGCCAGTTGAAAGGCAAGAGATACAGCTTCATCAGTAGACCGGTTGGGGCGGTATGCAAACTGAAGGGGGGTCAAGAGGGGTAGGGAGTCCACATATGTAGCACTCTCGGGTTCACATGGGTATGCGCCCTCGCTGCTGCCGCCTCAGGTCGGCCCCTCACCGTTGGGGAATCACCTCTGGCGTCACTCAACAGGGACCCAGCCACTTGAGCTAAAGGGAAATCTCCCATCAGCCCCACGGCTGCGGTCCCAGCTATTCACAGGGAAGGGCAGTGACGTCACCGCGCTGGTAAGCAGGCTTGCACAACCCGCAATGGTGGCCTTATGCGTTACAGAGGAACAAGTAATAGGTTTATTCCATGCTGAAAAAAAGAAGAAAGAGAACACAACGTTTCTGCCGTGGAGCCTTCTTCAGGTGTCTGGAATAAACCTATTACTTGTTCCTTTGCAGCCTACGCATGCTGACGCAGCTACCCACCTGAACTACTTATGCGTTACAGTACTGTATTAAATATAGCTTGCGGTTATACTCCCGGTTTAATATGTCAAATCCCCAATCAAAAAGCAGATATGTTCAAAAGCCGCGTCGCCGGATAAGGAGATGAAAGCTAGGAACAAACGCCCGAATTGAGCTACTGGCATTTCTGTTTATCACACAGTGTAACGCAGTTTTGTTCCTCAATTTTTTTCTTAATGGCAAAGATACGGCGCCCTTTCAAAGCGTGTGCGCCGGATCACGTGCCAGGCTGAAGGGGTGTGGTGCGCTGGGAGAGAAACAGCCGAGAGGTGGGAGAGGTATTTTTCAAACAGAAATTTCAAAAGAATTAACCGCGTTCAAAACGAAGCGTACTATTTGAAAGTATTCCGTCATCCACTTGAAAGCAAGATTTATTAAAATCTGCAGTTGCTTTGTTATTTGTAACGTTATTCTGTCTTTGGACAACCAAGGTAGGCCTTTCTTCATTTTGAGATCAAACGAAGCAAAAACACGACTATTTGTTTTTCCAAATCGACATTGAATACTAAGCGGAGGTGAAAACGAAATGTTGTCCCCCTAGACCTCAAACCGATAAAGACGATTGCTTTTGCGTTAAGGTCCTGTTATGTTAATGTAAGAATGAACCCGACATGTTTTCTAAATGGCCTCATAAAATGAAGCTTTGATTAAGTTAATGGGTTTGTTAATCCCGTTTCAGTCTCACACCAACTCCAACAATTGAATATACAGTATATAGATATTTATATGTAGTTCATTGAATTAAATGCGCTTTAATTAATGTATGCTGCTTTAAAGTGGTGCATTAATACGATCTAGATTCTGTTAGGTGGATAACCAATTTCAAATTTCCCAAACTCGATGATACGAATACAATTTTAATTGTTTTAAAATTTTAAACGCACATTAATAAGTGATAATTGTATCAGAATGAATTTGAATGCATGCACTGGACTGAGCTAAACTTTTTTGCTGGATTCTGAAATAGCACAACGTTAATACCTGTTCATTTGTCTACTTCAGTGCCCGGGAATAATCATTTTATCGCCGTGTTATTGTAGACTAGTTGTAGCAAGGCAGAGGGTGATCAAGATGCCGTGAAGTGGTTTGGAAGGGGAGGCGGTAATGTACGCGAATAATCTGGCGTTTTTAGGCGCTGAAACCGATTTTAAACTATATGGTTTAAAGTTTTTTTTTCCACTGAAAGTATTTTATTTTAACCGAGCTCATTGGTTAAAACAATTGGTTGTTTCCGTAAATTGTCTGCCCAGTGATGGATTGCACTGTGCACTGACCAGCTGAAGTCCATCCATGATCAGAAATGCACTCATTCCTGATGAGTATTGCAGCAATCCAGAGCCCATCATGGGAGCCCAAAGACAAACGCAGGACTGTACACTGGCCAATCCATCAGAGGGATGATTTAGAGACCCCGATCATGCCTTTGGGAGGAAAGCCTTGTATGTTTTTTAACTGAAGCACGGTTGTAAGCCATATGGGTATTTTAGGCTAATTGTTTTAAACTGTTTTTGCCTAGATATTCTGCATGATGATGGATCGTAATCCACGCTTTCCTGACTCCAGAGGGACGAGTTTTTCCCCAATTCTGAGGAGAAATGTGTGTTTTCCTCCTGGGAACTTGTCTCGCTTGGCCCCAAGATTCAACCAGGATTCAAACAACAACAACCGAGCCGTAGAAACCAAAAAGGACTTTTCTGGATTGGGTAAGTTCTCCGTTCTTGTGTTGATTTGGTAGAGAAAGCGTGTGTAACATTACTGACATTAGATTTGATAAGTCTTACAACACTTTCTGTTGTTTAATTATTTGACTAAATATTCATTTAAAAAATTGTCTAACCTGTCCATTAGTGCATAACTGCAGGTGGTGTATTTAAGTATTGTCGTGCATACTTCAGATGTTGCCTTTCGTGATGAGATCATAGGACAGATTTCCTTCTGACAACCCATCCATGCAGGTCATTTTTGTATAGGCAACAGTGTACTGTGGACCTGTGGACCACTACTCTGGTGTCTGCTAAACCTTTCTGCAGGCCCTTTTGCAGTGATTCTGCTTTGCATATCTGACCAGTTTACGAGCAGTTCTGTCAGAGATTTTTCTGGATCTAACAGATCTTGCCTTAACTTCAGCAATTCCCTTAGCTTCCACTTCTTGATGATGTTTCCGACAGTGGAAATTCCAAGCTGGAAGTGTTGAGATATCTTTTTATAGCCTTCCCTTGCTGAGTATGAGCCAATTATCTTTATGTTCAAGTCCTCAGTCAGCTACCTTGATTGTTTAGACTAGGCACAACCTCCTGAGAGGTTAGAAGGGTCAGAGTATTTATTAAACTCTGGAATTGTATTCACCTGTCTTAATTTAAGGCCTAATGAATCAATCAAGTTTTTTGAGTCCTTAAAAAAGTATTAATGAATCAACTGGAATGGTGCCCAAACCTTTGCACATGCCACATTCACTGGTTTATTTTGTAAATCTGTTGGGTTCAATAAATAAATAGCAATTGTGCATTCAAATGTGCAGAAATATTTCATGTTCACGTTTGTACTCTGCAGAGCTTGTGTCAACTTCTTTTCACTTTGAAATTCTGTGAAGCATGCAGTTTGACCAGGGGTGCCCAAACGTTTGCATACAACTGTATAAACCCTACACCTTGGCAGCACATTTCTGTGTTTTTTGTGCAGTTAGTAGTAGTTTAAGATGGGAGTTCCCAATAGTTATGTATGACTTGAAAAAGTATAAAGGGACAATCTCCAACATGTTTAGGAACTGAAGTTAGAGTCTAAATTAATCCTAATGTTAGGTCAATCAAAGGCTTAGCTAAGCCAGTGAGAGCTAAGCTAGAATGGTCCCCCATCCCAGTACTAGAAGAAGGGGAAACCAGTAGGTTACAGTATGAGCCCCCAGGGCCAACCATGTTAACTGCTGGTTAGATTTGCTATTGAGTAGCTTAGACTGGTATATCTTTGTTATTTTGGCTCCACAGATGAGTGCACTTACCAGCCAGTATCTCTCACTAGCTGCTACTGGCCCGGAGTGTGTCGCTGCAGGGGTGGAAGGCAGTGCTTATTTTGTGAGACAGTCCCGTGTGCTGCAAGTCTTTTCACCTAATGAATGCATCCTGATAAAATGAACTCAAATAATGCTTCTCATTCTGAAATTTCCCAAAATGCCTTACATATAGGAATTTCCCCCATTGACCTGCAGATTCTTATTTAAGATTGCATTACTGTACGTCATCAGTTTTAATCTTTGTATAAATGCAGAACATGGATTAAATCAACCTTGTGTAATACTGTATCTGTGAATCCGGATTTGGAATGGATCCTAATTTTGTTACTAATCTTTATAAATTATTTAGTGGGAGGTTGTTTTTTTCCATTTGGCTTGGTATGGTGCAAACACACGAACTCGAGGTATTTAAATGTTAAATTAACTTGGGATTTGGTGAACATGGCAGTGACCTGCTTGTCTTTTTTTTTTTCAGGCGCTCGGAGTCTCCCCGCCCAGCCTACAGACCTGCCGATGGGGATTGTGGAGAAGTACAGGCGAGGGGAGACCCATGCAGTGTCAGCCTTGTACCAGCTGTCGCAGGTTCTCAAGTTTCAACTGGTCATGAAGGAAACGGTGACCCCAGGTAGGAATATATATCTCGCTGGGAAGATCCTCCCACTCTGTTTAGCAGTGGGATACTCTGTGAATACCTGATTCTTAGTATTTTGAAAATGCATCATTTTTTAAGAAATGACCCGATCAATCCAACTATGGCAAAATAATTAAATTGAGTTGATTTGTAAATTTTGAATTCATACTTATAACAAAGTTGTCATATCGCCCTTGGATGTGTCACTGGGTTGCACTCAGTCCATTGTTTTTCTCATGCATTCCCGGTTTCAGCTGACAGCCACTGGTTAAGAAAGTAAACCAGTAATCAAAGGCAGTTTCTAGTCCAGCTGTTAAGGTAATGTATTTTCTTATGTGGAATTTTTTTCAATTAAAATTCCCTTTTTTTATAGTAGCTGGCAACATCATTTCTTAAAAATACAGATTTTTGACTGTCATATTTAGTCAAGTCATATACAGATGTTTTAGCAGCACATCATATTTTTTGAAGATGAATGTTTCTCACAATCAATTTAGGACTCTAACTTTGGAAGCTAGAAGTTGATTTACCTACAGTATATGTCGCCTTGCACAATAATGAATAATTAATTCATTATTGAATAATTAAGATGTATAAGTGCAAGAAGAAAATTATAATCCATTTCCTTTTTTCAAACTTGCTCTGCTAAATTGCAAAGTCTTTTTTTTCCCATTATCATGAGTATTCTGGAGTGTTAGTTTGGAAATATATCGAGATTATTTTCACTCTTTATTTACATTTTTGTCCCCTTTAAATGCTGTATCTATGCATCTTTCATCCTTTTTGGTAAAAGAAAGCAGATTTTCTTTCTATGGAAACAGTCTGACATTGCAGTTTTAGAATGAACATAATATATTTTTCATTTTTAAGGAATGGAGTAAGTGTGTGCTCTGTTGTGTAATTGATTCAGAACACTGAGTGCCTAAAGTCCTTCCATGATCAGAAATTCGCTCGTTCCTGATGAGGATTGCAGCAATCCAGAGCCCGTCCCAGGAGCACAAGAAACAGTGCAGTCCACTGTCAGTGTTACACTGTCCAGTCCACCACAGGGATGATTTAATAATAATAATAATAATATTAATTAATAATAATTGCTTACACTTATATAGCGCTGTTCTGGACACTCCACTCAAAGCACTTTACAGGTAATGGGGACTCCCCTCCACCACCAATGTGCAGCCCCACCTGGATGATGCGATGGCAGCCATAGTGCACCAGAATGCTCACCACACATCAGCTGTCAGTAGGGAGGAAAGCAGAGTAATGAAGCCAATTCATAGATGGGGATTATTAGGAGACCATGATTGGTGAGGGCCAATGAGAAATTTGGCCAGGTTTACACACCAACTCTTTTCGAGAAACATCCTGGGATTATTAATGACCACAGAGTGAGGACCTCGGTTTTACGTCTCGTCCGAAGGACAGCGCCTTTTTACAGAATAGTGTCCCTGTCACTATACTGGGGCATTAGGACCCACATGGAACGCAGAGTGAGGGCCTCCTGCTGGCCCCACTAACACCTCTTCCAGCAGCAGCCTTAGTTTTTCCCTAGGAGTCTCTCATCCAGGTACTGGCCAATTGTGAGTTGCAGAGTGATATGGCTGTTGGACTTAGAAACCCTTAGATTTAGAAACCCTGATTAAAACTAGTCAGCGTGCCTTTGAGAAGAAAGCCTTGTAAACCCAGGAGGAACATGCAGGCACCACACACAAGGCTTCCCTGCCCAGAGTTGACCCCAGGGCCAGGGACCAGTGCCCATTGGCACTGATTGCCATATCACTGATTCTGCTCGCTAAAAACCTTAAATAAAAGAAGCCATGGGGAGCAGCATTAATGACTGTCATTGTCAATGATTTGTTTCCCCACCAGATCATGTCCAAAGTCTGTCCTTTGCCTTCTGTGCTGTGATTGATGGGGTGAAGTACAAGACGGGAACTGGGATGAACAAAAAGGAGGCCAAAGCCAAGGCCGCGCGGCTGGCCCTTGAAGAGCTGCTGCCCTCGTTCGAGTCGCAGCCTCAGCTCCCTGACGCCGCAGGTGCGCTAAAGCCAGGGGCTCAGAGCCACATTATTGCAATGTCATTTGACAAACTGCTTTATACCATACGGTGTCACAGGAAGCCAGAGCCTACCCGGTAAGCAACGAGTGCAAGGCAGGGTACACCCTGGACGGGGCGCCAGTCCTTCGCAGGGCAAGTACAAGCCAATCATACACGGGGACAATTTGGAGGCCATGGTAAAGGCAGAGGGGGGGGAAACTTGGCCTGCACACTGTGATAACTCCCTACTATTATCGAGAAATGCCCAGGGAACTTGTGAACCGTTGAACTTGCGTGTAATGACCTCTGAGAGTCAGGACCTTGGTTTAACGTCTCATCCGAAAGATGGCGCCCAATACAGTATAGTGTCCACGTCACTATACCAGTGCATTAGGACCCACACAGACCACAGTGTGGGCACCCGCTGGTCCTAATAACATCACTTTCAGCAGCAACCATAGCTTCCCAGGAGTCTCCCATCCAGGTACTGACCAGGCTCACACCTGCTGAGCTTCAGTGGGCTGCTAGTTGGGAGCTTCAGGGTGATATGGCTGCTCGCTTTTACTGCAAGTATGACAAGGAATTTAAGATTGTCAAGATTTCAGGGGAAATGAAAATAGAAATGGACATCTGTCTAAAGGAAATATGTCAGTAACATTAAGAGACAATTAGTAATCACCAGTCCTTCTTGGTTTTGTCAACCCATTTAGCTGCTTCTTGATCAGTCTTGTAGTATATTACTTTTGCACAATTGAAGCAGTCAGAATTGTCTGGAGCTCATGTTTCACGATTGCTAACGTGTGATGTTTGTCTTAGAACAGCCTAGCATTGCAGCTCCTGAAACTGATGAGGGAAATGCAAGATAGTGACGTAGCACTTGCAGGTTTTAAATGGACAACACAGCGTTGACAAGAGGCTACCAGTCTCTTTTCTTTCACCCATTGGCTAGTGTTGTCATTCCGGACAGTTTTAAAGGTCTTCTTGTAAAGGTATACTGACTGTTTTCTGCAGTGAGTGGCTGCATTGTATCATTTGTTAGGTTGGCATGGTATTGAGTTATCATATTCCTGTTTTCTTAGCGCAGTGTCATATATCAGCAGAGCATAGCCTTTAAATCCTAATTAAACAATTACTGTGTTGAAGAATTGCTAAACTGATTAATTCCTATCAAGGTGAAGTTAAGTTGTAGTTTTTTGCTCATTTTTCTTTTTTGAGAATGCTGATGCAACAAGTAATCTTTAAATTCTACTGTTTTTTTTCCTGTTTCCAGCCACTTCAAACATTTTGTAACTTTTATTTATGTTTTAGGAGTGCAAATCCAGAAAGGGAAACTAACTGTAAGCTCTGTGAGCTGTGTTTTACATGGCTACCTTTCCTAGTGCTGTAGAAAGGTTGCTCAGCCATGTATAGGCACGGTGGAGACATGGTTGGTTTTATTCCATTAAAAAAGCAAAAGCACTTTTTTTGCTTCCGTAAGTTATTCACCGCTGGCGAGATATTCATAATATCCACACAAACACTGTTCTGTTTGTGCAGGGTTTCGACTGAACAGGCCTTGGTTCTTCTGAGTTCACATTGCATTGAGACAGTGGCTAAATAAAATTCTGTTATGCTTTTTACTACCTCCAATTATGTGGACAAATCCTAATTTTGGCATTTCCCTATGTGTCTTATCTGATGTGATTTCCCAGTCTAGTTATTCAATGATGAGATTGCTCATTAAGTTGTTGCATATAAACTTTTCATCAGGCTAGTTTCCATGTAAACAGTTAAAAATCAGGATGTTCATTTTTCTGCACCTCTTTATGCTAGTGGGAATAAAACTGCTCCCCCAACATTGCAAAAGAATAATTTTGTTTCAGATTTTTCTTTATACACTTATATAAATTTTGTTTTCAGTCAGTCCACCTCCTTTGCCTGTGAAAGAGTTTCCTTGCACTGATTTCTACCCTGGAAGGTCAGCTTGTGGTACGTATAATTGCATTTTTAATAAATCTAATTACATAAGAAGAGTGCCTGTTGAGGTAAAGCGATCTTAAGAGTGCCTGTTGAGGTAAAGTGATCCCCTAAAGAGAGCAGAAGTCAACTTATCAGTGGTGCATTAATAAGAAATCACTTTTCAAGGTATAACCAAAATGGCTTTTAAAGAATCAGAGATCGATAAGGGCGATACTTTATTGTCCACTCTTAAGGAAATATGTCACACAAGCAAAACATAAAATCACATAACGTATATGAAATCACAACAGCAGTCTGTAGTAAATAAATGGATAAGTGAATAGGTAATGAGGTGGGCTACATTTACATACATGCATTGAACAGTTTTATTGAATAGGGGACAGAGAATGTTTTTATTTTAATTTTGTACCCTATACCAGCTTCCTTATAGGAGCATTATGAATTGAGTGATGAGAATGGAGTGTCTGTGTGGAATCAGATGTGATGTTCCAGGCCGTTATGATAGAAATCACTAGGCTGGGGCTTCTGTTACCCAATTATTTTTCCTGACATTTTCACAATCCTGCACAGTTTAGTTTTACTTTTCAAGTACTGTAGGTAAAATACTGTAGGTTTCCATACCAAAGTGCCGTATTAAATGCCAGGATGCTCTCAACAAAGCTGTAAGATAGTCTGTTGATTTGTAGGGAATAGGATTTTACGCCTACCTAAAAGTAATACAGTTGCTGTATAATACACTGCATTTTACTTATATGGTTCTTAAGTTGGTGCCTTCACAGAAGGTTCTGTGAACCTTTGCTTTTTCCTTTCACAGCATGTATTGTTTTCTAAAGCTTTTTGCTGTACCTAATTATTTTTAAAATCGGCACTAGTATTTCAAGAAATGGCATTTATTTTGAGCCAAAACATAGACTACAATTGTGCTGAAATATTTCACTTGACGTCTTTCGACGAGAAATTCAGTGTTAAATTTTTGTGAACGGAGCTGTTTAATATTTGGTTCAAGACTTGAAAGACATGAAGCTGCAGTTTTAGACTTTTCTAAATTTGGTCTCTTCTGTGGACGCAGCACACTTGCGTTAGAAAGTGGCGCACTGTTCAGTTCTGTACAGTATTTACTTTCGTTCATTTGCTCCGAGACCTTTTTATCACTCCTCTTTTAGGCCTGGAATGAGTTCTTCTTGCAGTGTATCTTTTTGCTTTTCTCATGCAGCTTCTTCTCAATACAAAGCTGTACACTCTTGTTTTTTGGAATTTCCTGGTAAATATGAACCTATAGTATTAGTATCCAAAACACCCACTAGTACTTCTTGAGCTGTTATTAAAAACAAATTAACCTATAATGTTAACATTGCACGCCTTGGGTAATAAAGCAAAAACTGCCCTCGTTATTAATTCCACATCGGTTATAGGGTGCGTTCAATAAGAAAGGATCCTTGAAGCAGTACTGTGAGGTAGAAGTTGCTCTTAACGAATGTTTGATGAGAATATATTTTCTACCGAAACAGTAGCACAGCTCAACATTAATAAAATTCTTAACAGCCACTAGGGGGTGTCATAAGTTCTGACTGACCTTTCTCAGTCTTGTAACTTTCTGGTCTTAAAGTAGGTTTGACTGAGTTTTTAAAACTAAAGATTTGCTTTTCTACCAAATTTTAAGTAAGTGTTATTTTCCATTGTTTACACACAGAGTGGCTATTTTCAAATATGAAACATTTGTTTTAATACAAACTGAATGCATGCCTTTCTGTTTGTAACAAAGCTAAACATCATGGACTGTCATTGCCACGAAATGCCAGTGTCCTGTGTTGTGTTACAGGACGGAGGAGTTCCTTATATGAGCAGATTACACAAGTCGTCAAGAAAGAGTTCAATGAGTTATTGGAGAAGTATCCAGAATTTAACTGCTCCAGAAAGACAGTGGCAGCTTTTGTCATTCAATCACGTAAGTGTGAACTGAGAATTCCGAAGTGCATCAGACAAGGGGAATTAAGTGTCCAGATACGGCAGGATATTTGAATGTACATTTTGGAATGATATTTAATGCTCTTGTAAATTATTACACAACTTTAGTATTTAAACACCATGTAATTCTTTTGACTATATATTAGATCTTGATAATAACATACTCTGGATAATGTATACATTGTATAATGTGCTTAAGCCTGGAATCATACATTTACTGTGCTTAAAATCAAAACACCTGTTCTTTAGTCCATTCTTGTTTACTCCTTTACATATAAAGTAATATCTAATTCAGAATGTGTGTTTTTCAGTTTATGTGCAGTAGTTTAAAGGGGAACTGCAACACTATTTTTATAATTTGGGGTTAGAAAGAATCGGCATCGATGAGTGTATTTCAAACCACAATAATAGTAAGATATACAAAGTAATGTGTTAAACCTCCACTTTACATAACAAAATGGACAACGTGTCCGTGTGTGTGCAGTTCCATATTCTGCGATTCAGAAGGCGGCAACAAATGTTTCGGTCATGTGACTCGGCCCTATTTCATTGTAAAGAAGCAGGCTTGTGAACATCTTTTCAAATCCAGTAGAAACATTGCTTTAGACTTGGAGATGGTTTTGCTGAAAATACTTAACTCTGCGTGCAGATCATGTTGGAATATTTCTGTGGTGAAATGTCTGCTGCACAACCTATATTTATTTGCTTGTACATGACATCACATTACATTAGTCATTACGGTAACTAGTGAGTAGGAAGGGCTGCTCATGTCACAGTTCTCACAAACTCTCGCTCTCACCCGTGGCAACGTGGAGACCATACAGGTATTGCACAAATTTCAACATTTTGTGCTTGATTTAGAATGTGTAAAATTATGTAATGCTGTCAATGAATTTATCTTTCTTGATTATTTACCAAGATTTAATAACCAGTCTGACAAGTTGGGAATGCAGCTCACCTTTAAATAGCCTCCCATAAATCTGTGTTCAACAATTCAGAATAAAAACTGGACTAAAGCATAAAAGACATGCAGCATTCTAGCACAATGTTTTTAGTAAACTATTTTAATGCAAGACGTCAAACAAAATCGGAGAAAATCGGAGAAAACATAATAAAAATGCATCTCGAAAAATCATGTAAAGCTTTCTGTTTGAACCACGAGAGTCAGAATGAAAACATGACGAAGTGAGTGCCTTTTATGGTCTTCTTGGGCATAAACACAATACAAGCAGAACATACTGTAAATCCATTTGGCCCGTCTGGTTTGATAATAGATGATTGCTCCAAGGTTGCTCATCCAGCCCTTTGTTGATCGAAGCCAAACCTCCACAACCCTTTGGCTAAAGAAGTGCCCCTTATTCTTGGTTTTAAAAGCACTACCTTGGAGTTTCTGCTTGTCCTTAGAGGTCCACTGCATTAATTCCGTCAATGCATTTGAGGGTTGTGAATGCTAGTGTCGGGTCCCATCATAGTTTTCTGTTATACTAAGACTAAAAAGGTTCAGATTTTTCAGCCTGTCATTTTAAGACAGGATTCTTTAAATCCCATAATACATCTAGGAAATTGAATAGGCTCAGTATTTTGTTACTTGAAAGAACAGTATTGTCTGTTTACTGTTTGCTGTGTGATCAGTGCTATTAATGTATAACCTACTCTACTTTTGGCATTTTTATTGCGAGTAAGTGTACTTCAGTTTGGTTCCGTCCAGAGGTGCAGTCAGGTCTTTTTCTCAGAACCGCACAAGAATGAACTTGTGATGTAGCTCATACGATTTTGGACTTTTAATATCTCTCTTAAGAAATATGTGTTCTGTCCGGAATGTGTTCGATTTATCAGGGTTTTATGTCTGTAGCCACAGGATATGAAGTTGTAGCAATTGGAACAGGGGACACGAATACTAACCAGCACGCTACCGCAAATGGACGACTTCTTCATGACTCACATGCTGTTGTCACTGCAAGACGTTCCCTGCTGCGGTAAGTAGAGTGAGCCATAAATATACAAATTTGCTCACGAGAGTGTGCTTCCATTCTTTTTACCAGTGGACTCTGTATAAGTTTTAGTGTAATTATAAGGAATGTGAAAAGACTGTTAAGGATGATCTAATCTAATTTGCATTGTTTTAAGTTTTCCAGTATGATTCCTTCCATTTTTTATTACAAGGTAATATGTAAGCTGCTGTTTGCTGTTAAGTGGGGGTTTGACCTTTTTGCGATAGGAATGGGACCTTTCTATAGTATTGTATTAGAGAGGAACATCTTTTGGGACTTGGTAACTGTACCCAGTAGTTCCATTCTAAATATTGTTGTTTTAAGTTATGAACCATAAAGTTGGAAATAAAGCCCAGCGTTTTACAGTGGTACCTTTTTAAACGCTTCTCAGATTTTCTTCCTTTCACAGTTTTCAAAAGACGAGAACACATTGAAATTAATTTTTCAGATTTGTCGTTGTCCTTTTAGACTTTGAATGCAAACACTGGGGGGAAAAGTAGTTAATAGGGTTTGAAAATGTAATCTGGTGTCACAGTGCAAGATGTTGCTCTTTGAAGAGGGCAGATTGAAAAAATACTCTCCTGGAATGCCTGTGATTAATTAATTAATTGCTTACACTTATATAG